AGATAGATAGATAGATAGATAGATAGGCCAAGCAAATCATAACGAAGTTGATCACTTAGTAAGGTGGTCAGAGCCACAATCCTAGTGTGCCAAAACGTGTTGTCAGTGGGTAGGGGTAAACAATGAACCTGCTTCTGCCAGGGCCATTCAGCAGGTGGTGAAACTTCCGTTACAAGTTTATCCAAGTTCCTTCTCTTTGCAGCTTCTCTGTTTGATGTTTCAGAAGATGTCTGACTTGTATTTTCTATCACCAAATCTTCATTACCCTGGTCAAAAACAAGAGAAAAGTTCTGAAGACATACTTTCTATCTACTTTATTCTACTCACAATGGTGAAACCATTATCTCTCCGGACAACAAAACAGTGCTTAAATGTGTTGCAGGTGACCCCCATATCCGGTTCTGAGGTTCCATCTGATAGATGAAGGGCTGGTGAGGCCCTTTCTACTCTGGATTAATCAACCCCTAAGTTTCTCAGCAGAATGCAAGAAGGAAAAAAAGCCTGATTGATATCCTTTCCTCCTTTCAGTGAAGGAAAGAAGTAGGAAGTGTTAAAGCTTCTGCCTTCAAAGACGGAAAACAGAACATCTGTACTAAGGAATGGGGTATGCTACCATGTAAAACCTCCACTGCTCAATGTGGTATCCACAGCTGGTTATATAGAAACATTCATTCTCATTTTCAGCCGGGTGCTGGTAGCTCACACCTGTAATCCTAGCTATTCAGGAGGCTGAGATCTGAGGATCGCGGTTCAAAGCCAGCCCAGGCAGGAAAGACTGTGAGACTCCTATCTCCAATAAACCACCAGGAAACTGGAAGTGGTGCTGTAGCTTAAGTGGTAGAGCGCTCACTTTGAGCTGAAGAGCTGAGGGATAGTGCCCAGGCCCAGAGTTCAAGCCCCACGACTGACTGACCCAAAAAAAAACATTCTCATTTTCAAACTTAAGCTTTTACTTTCCATTTTAATCACTGTAGGAGACAAATATTTTATCCCAGGAATTAAAAAGATTATTCTTTATTTATACTATTATGATGACTAATCACAGCTGTTCGTTTGACTGGATTGAGAATCACCTGCTCAATTAGTAAAGCAAACCTCTAGGCTTGTCCAGAGACCACTAGATCTTGACAACTCTGACCTAATGAATGGATTAACCCTTTGCTGGATTCATAAATGGCACTACTGGGAAAACTGGAAAGTGGGGCCTAGTTGGGGGGAAGTAAGTTCCTGTGAGCTGTATCTACCTTGCCCTAGACTTTCCTGCGTGTCCTTTCCTCCACTTTCTGGACACCATGAAGTGAGCTGCTCTGCTTTGGCCTTCCCTTCACACTAGGACGGACTGACACCTCTAAAGCCCTAAGCCAAAATAAACCTTCCTTCCTTTTAGTAGGTCTCTCTGGTATTTTAGTCAGAGCTACTCAAAAATAACACATCTACTAAAACTGTTGCCTTAGCAATATAACTTCCTAAAACATCAAATTCTTAACTATGGGCTCATTAGTTTAATAACTTTCAAGTAAGACTAAGTTCAGTAACTCCTTTCATTCACAGCTACTAACCTTCTAAGAGAGAAATTTGTCTTTAGCAGACTAACATACCATTTAGCGAGTTTATCTCCCTTCGTTCTTTTTTTTTTTGGTGTCTTTCTTTCTCTTTCTTTCTTTCCTTCTTTCTTTCTTTCTTTCTTTTTGCCAGTTCTGGAGCTTGAACTCTAGGCATGCTGACCTTTTGTACTTAAGGCTAACACTCTACCATGTGCACCAAAGTTCCACTTCTGGCTTTTATTTTTTAGTTTAGTGGAAATAAACAGTCTCATGGACTTTGCTGCCCAAGCTGGCGTTGAACCGTGATTCTCAGATCTCAGCCTGCTGAGTAGCTAGGATTACAAGCGTGAGCCACTGCCTCCTGGCCCCCTTCCTTTGTTCTAAGACAAAGTGGTGGAGAGGAGTGCTCATGCTCACGCCTGTAATCCTAGCTACTCAGGAGACTGAGATCTGAGGATCGCAGTTCAAAGTCAACCCAGACAGGGATATTCTTATCTCTAATTAACCACCAGAAAACCAGAAGTGGCATTGTGGCTCAAAGTGGTAACACTGGCCTTGAGTAAAAAAGCTCAAGGACAGCACCTAGGCCCTGAATTAAAGCCCTACAACCAAAAAATAAATAAATAGAAGTAAAAATACAGTGGTAGAAGGAACATGAGGAATAGGCATTAAGGGGAGTTCAAAACCAACTTGAGCTTTTTGTTGAGACCCTGTCTCAACAAAACAGTAAGATGTATCCCAGTGACTGGAGAGGCTAGTACAAGATTACTTCAGCCCAGGTAACATATACGTTATGTTGCCATCTTTCATATCACTTTTATTATCTACTCTTGATTATTTTGACATTATTTGCCATTATGAAACAGAGACTAAGAATCCTGTACTTTTGTTGAATTATTTTCTTTACAAGATGACAAAAAGTACAGTATAAACGGGAATCAAAAAAACAAGCATCTTTGGAACGGAAAAGGCCATCATAGAAAATCTGTAGCCAGCTACTTTAAGACCGAATGTCTTGGCCAGGTGAGCTAGTGGCTCACCCCTGTAATTCTAAGGGATGAGATGTGAGGATGAATCACCAGGTTCAAAGCCAGCCTGGGCAGAAAAATCCAAGAAACTCTTATCTCTAACCAGAAAAAACAAACGCCAGAAACAGAGGCATGGCTCAAGTGATGAGTGCCAGCCTTGAACAAAAAGTCCAAATGGGAATACAAGGCCCTGGTTCAAGCTGCAGTACAGGCACCAAATAAAGTCTTTAGGATATCCTTTGACTCTGTAAGAAAACTTAAAAATCTAAACTTCCATTACCAAGTAACAAAATTTGTAATCAAAGCTGAAGAGGAGAATATAAAAGCTAAATTGCCTTTAAAAACAGAAACAAGGCAGTGCTGGTGTTGCATGCCTATAATCCTAGCTACACAGGAGGCTGAGATCTGAGGATCTCGGTTGGAAGCCAGCCCAGGCAGGAAAGTCCATAAGACTCTTATCTCCAATTAATCATAGAGAAAAGCCAAAAGAGAAAAGGCTCAAGAGCTAGACTTGAGTGAAAGGAGCTCAGGGACAATGCATAGGCCCAGAGTTCAAGCCCAGGACCAGCCCCGGAAGGAAAGTCTGTGAAACTCTTTTTTTTTTTTTTTTT